GAACCTAAGGAGTATTTTTTCCAAGTTAAAAAAGCAAAAGCAGTCATTCTGTTTTTCTATTATTGTGTGGATTTCTTTTAAATTTATATATTACTTTAGTTTTATTCACTTATTAAATTTATTACAAAGCATTTTCTACAGTTTTGTCTCTACTGTGAATGAAATTAGAAGGGATTTATGTAAGGACACACCATTAAAAATCAAAATGACAAGAAAACCCTAAACCCAAAGCAAAGTTGTGTCATCATTCTTGCCAGCTCCAGGCCTGCCAAACACCACTGCTTTGTAACTGCCTCTCTCACTTCCATGGTCATTTCCATGTGGTTATGTCATGTGCTCATACTTCTGGGTCTTGACCTTTAGACGTCACTTATGATCAGGGAGAATTTACACCACTTCCCTTGACCTTCTCTGCCTTTGAAGTGGTATCACTGTTCTCAGACCCTCAACTCATCCAGCCTCCAGCTTAAACTATTCCTCGTTCTGCCAACCACGAGCAGTCTCCCTTGGCTCTTGTGTTTGTGAAAGGAGGACACAGCCTCCCCTGCGTTTCTCCCTGCTGTGACACCTCCCAGCCTCTCTCCCCTGAAGCGTCAGCTTTTCATTTTACATTTCAGAACAAATATTCTGCTGTGTTAAACAGCCACCACTTTCTGCAGTTTAAAGGTATGCAAATATTTGTCTTCTGTGAGCAAGCAGTTACCCTTCCTTTCATAGTGTTGCAGTGACACAGGTGCATCTCAAAGAAGTCTCTTAATGTCACTTTCAAAAGACTTCCCCTTTTGATGTTCCACAGCCAGCCACGAAGCAGGCCCTTGTTAACCGAAATCCTGTTTGGAACATGCCAGAAACTGTTCTGGGGACCGGCTAGAGTGCCTCAGGGGAGCTCACTGAAGAAACAGACTGAGGCTCAAGGACCCTCAGAAAGTGTGCAGGGCCCACTCAGCCCACCTCACTCTTTAACCAGAATGGGAGTTTCTGTACGTGTCTCCTGCACAGATAGAGCAGCCAGACCTAGCAAACAAAACTATAGGGCCCCATTTAAATGTCAATACATTTTTGGTTAAGTAAGTTCCAAAGTGCTGTTTATCTGAAATCAAGTTAACTGGGCACGCAGTCTCTGTCACTAGCAGTCCTCTGATAAAGGGCTTGTGTCTGGGCCCACTGACACCTCAACACAGAGCCTCACACCTTCACAGGCTTCCAGGATGTCAAAGATACTCCCCTCCAGATCCCTAAGGGATGAATGAACTTGTCCTCTCACTCCTGGCCTCCTCCAGCCCTCAGCCCTGCCCCTCCTCTGCCCACTCCAGACATCTCCCCTGGTCCTGTCTCTGTCCCTCCCCTCTGCCCTGAAGTCTCCCAAATGTGCTCTCTGGTCTGACCAGCCAGACTCCAGACTCCTGCACTGAAAACCCCAGCTTTGCTTGCAGCCTCCTTCTGCCCCTCTCTGTGTACCCTAATATAACTCACAGTAGCCTGTCCTTAGAAACGCCCCTCAGTGTTGGCTGCAGATTGGCATGGACCCAGGTGTGACTCCGGGCTCTACCACGTCCTTCCTGTGAGACGCTAGGAAGAGGGAAAGAGGACTTTGCCTCATAGCAAAATGGTGCTAGTTATTCCCTGTCCTGTGTCAACAGAAGTAAAATCACACAATATGAGAATTAAGTTTTATTTGGGGCAAAATGAGGACTATAGCCCAGGAGACAACATTTCAGATAGCTCTGAGTAACTGCTCCAAAGAGGCAGGGGGAGCTCAGTATTATATATATATAATATGATTTTATTATTTCATATGTATTTGATTTTAGTGGGGGGGGGCACGCGCAGTCAAGCACACCTCTAGGCAGGGGCTTGCTGCTAGTCACAAGGGGCAGATGTCACCATTAATGATTTTAGTTCTTTTCTGAATATGAGGAGAGGAGAGAATTAGGGCTTATAAAATCTCCTGAGAATATCTAACTATCTGAAGGCCTTTAATGCCGGTTTTCCCCAGAGCACAGAGCGCCTCATTCCTAATCTCCACCCTGGACTCCTTTCAGGAAGTGTTAAAGGTCAGCGGCTACAGGAGGTTGTGCAGAGACAGATGGCAAGTGCCAATTTTTGCTTTTTTATTTATTTTTGAAAATTTATTTATTTTTGGAGGAGAGATAATTAGGTTTATTTATTTATTTAATGAAGGTACTGGGGATTGAACCCAGAACCTCATGCATGCTAGGCATGCACTCCACCACTGAGCTGTACTTTCCCCCCATCCCTGTTGTGGGTGCAACGGGTGGCCGGTTGGTGAGCCAGTGACACGTGGGTTGGTAAAAAGAATTTACCAGAGATAAAGTATGAGAATAGAAAAGAGTTTATTATTTATCATAGATAACAGCAGGCCACACAGACGAGAGGTGCCTGTGTGAGCCCCGAGGGCTGGTTATTGGGGTCTTTTATAGGTTGGGTCACAAGGTGACTGATTGGCCTGTGTGCAAGTCTCTGACTGGCTGTAGGTAAGGTAAGAGGTTTAGGGTCCATGAAGGGCAGTGGCGTTTGACTCTGAGAAGGTGGGCTGAAACAAGCCAGCCTGCTCTAGGGGAAGATTAGGCGTTACCTGGGGCTATTAGTTTGTTAGGGCAAACATGCCCGGTAAAGAATGTCAGACATCTGAGAGCGCAGGGATAGGAGTCGTTAGACTTTGAAGGACGTCGGTTGGCCCAGCACTCCCCAGTGCCAATTTTTAGTTGGCACCTGAGATTTGGTAAAGTTGGGATGAGCTTGGGTATGAAAAGGGCTTAGCCAAGGTGGGACTTATGGTGAGTTTGTAACCAAAGGCAGCTGTTAATTTAAAGACAAATGCAAGAGGTCCCCTCTCGGCCCATCCTCCTTCCTGTGGACATGACTCCATCATCTCTGGGGACTTGCACACTCCCTGGCACACCTGTGGCAAGGCAGGAGGTGGGAGGAAACAGAAATGAGGGCATCAGTGAGAACACGATTGGGACCCGGGGAAAGAGGCCAGGTCCAGACACCAGGTCAGGAGTGCAGGGGGAGCCCCCGGGGTCAGAGGAGGAGACCCCAGGAGGGAGGAGGTGAGTCCCCATCAGCTAAGCCAAGAGGAGGGGCCTCTGGTGCAGGCACTGGCCTATCCTGGGTCTTGGCCCCAACACTGCCCATCCACTTGTCTTCCCCAGCACCTGGCTGCATGTGGTGTGAGCCAGAACGTGTCCGGACTGAGTGATTTATTAAATGAGAGATTCCCCTCTTTTTTATAATAACATCATCGCTTCTTGAATAACTCCCAGCATTGTCCTAAGTGCTTGATGTTTAACTGCACGGCAGCCCTCATGGTCAGTCACTGTTACTCTCCATATGGTACAGGTGAGGTGCCTGAGAGCCATTCTCGCTCCCTCTGCAGCCCATGTCGGGTCTTCAGATGAAACTGCGGTCTGTGAGGTTCCCTGCCAGCCCCCTCTCACCATAGGACACTGCTAGTATCCATTAAAAGGAGGTACAGGCTCCGAAGTTCTGGGGTTTGTCCCATCCTCTTTTCTTCCCCTCTGGAGTGAGAGGTGCTATCTGGAGGTAGGCAGCCATGCTGGGCCTGGAGGGGACCAGCAGGGGTCCAGCAGGGGCCCAGCAGGAGGAGGCAAGTGCTAAGGGCTGAGCTGGGGGAGCAGGAAAAGCGGCTGAGTCCTGACAGCATTGCTGAGCAGCTGAGCCGGGCTCAAACCATCCTACCTCCCCACATGCCTCCTGTGAAACAAGGCTGCATTTCGGCCTTTCCCGGCAGATTTCTGGCCCTGCCAGCCCTCCTCCATCCCAGCCTCCTGTCCTTAGGTTCCTCCCTGCCCCTTGTCCTGCCACCATTGGCCCTCAGCCCTGCTTTGTTCCTCTCCCGTCCCTCTCTCCTTCCCCTTCATCACTTTGTTCTGTCAGTCCTTCCGTCTAGGGCACCAGCCCTCCCAGACTAAGTTCCTTCCACCCTCCTTGGCCATCGTCATCGTCTGTCCCTTATTCTCTATCCCTCCAGGTCCCAAACTAAATGATTCTGCTCCCAGCCCCTTACAACCATTGTGTAAGGTTGTGACAGAGTTTGGGCCCCTGACGTGAGCAGAAGTCTATGAGGAGAGACCTGGGGAGACTTCATTTTCTGGACACCTTGTTCAGGACAACCAGCTTCCAGGAGCTGACTGGGCTCAGTTCAGTTTCCACAGAATCCATGGCAGGAGAGAAGCCTAGTGCCTGGTATGGGTCCTGCTTGCACCCGCATCCACAGGGGCCAGTTCATCACCTGTGCAGGAGAGCCCCTCCTTCCAGCTTCCTCTCCAGGGCAGTAGAACTAGAACTGGCATAGGGACTGGAGTAATTCCTGGCTGTTAACCTAACTGCAAATTTGAAGGTTCCCTTCCAATATTTAGACTCATTCTTTTACTGCATGGCCTGTCATTTCAGAAACAGTGCTGCTAGCAGCATGATAGGTTGTCAATGACTGTAGATTTTTAACCTAGATTCCCCTCCTGTAAGGTTTAGCTGATTTTTACTCACACCAGCAGCAATTAGTGTGACCACTGGACCCTGCCATGGATCAGATCCACTACAAAATAGAAAGGTGTGTCTGCACGTTTGCAAGTTTTAATAAACCGTTTGGACTTAGTGATACATTTATTGAGAAAAAAAAGTTGGTGCAAGGTTCTTAATATTTCATTTTATTGCTTTAGATTTAAAATCAATTAAAATATTTATTTCTCTAAAAATCAAAAAATATTCTGATAGAATTGAATGGAATCTTACTGATGGATATTTGGAACATAACAGGTTTGAATGAAAAGTAAATCCATTCAGATTTTTTTTTTATACCATTTCTTTTGAGCCATTTGCCTTTCGCTGGGTTCTTTGGATCAATCTGGAGATGGTGGCAAATGACATGTTTATATTTCTTGGAAGATAGTGTTTTGTTCTGCTGTTCAACAGAGGTCTCCTGCCTTCTTTAGAGAGACTAAAGTCCATCCTTCAGTTTTGCCGAGTCTAGGACGAGAAGGTGGAGTGAATGGAGCAGGGAGAGAGACAGTTGGAAGATGAAACCCAGAGGAGGTCTGGGGACAATTACAAAGATGGGGAAGGAAGGAGGGACCCAAGGTGAGAAAGCAGAGGGGCCGTGTGGGGAGGAAAGGGAAGGAAGGGATGGAGGTGGCGCCCTAGGAGGGAGCAGGGCACCCAAAGGAGGCTCTGAGAGGAGGAGAAAGGCCCAGGGAAGCAGCGGGGAAGAACCCTCACCTGGAGAATGGCCTGCAGCTCCTTACTTAGGCCTTGACTATTTACATCCAGCTCATCCCAGGGCTGAAAAGGTCTTCCCTGGTGGTCCACGAAGGTCTCCCAGCAATGCTTGAACTCTGAAATGGAACAGGGGAGATAAAGGTGAGCTCTGGCTGTCGGGGGGTGGGGGGCGGCACAGCGCTGAATGACTCTTCGGGATAGACTTTCCCCATCATAATTTCACTGCCTCCTTTCTCTTTCCTCCTAGGGACTTAAATTCTTTTCTTGCAACTATAGCCTGAACCAGCCCCATCTTCCTTCTTTCTGGAAGCCCCCTAGTCCCTCTTGCATATCCACCCACCCCCTCTCTGCCCTCCCCCAACCACTTCTGCTACCCTGAACTCTCTTCCCATAGACTCCACTGTCCTTCCAAAGTCTAGCATCACCTCTCAGGCAGCACACAAAGGCTTCTCGCTTCTCCGCCAAGGCTTCCCATCCAGCCCACCCCTTTCTAGCAACTTCCCACAGGCCTCCCCCTGCCACCGCCCTGCCCCCAGGAGACCCGTGCTGACCCTTAAAGGTCATGATGGCGATTTGGGCCCCAGCCTCCTGCAGTGTGCGCAGCCCTGCCTCATAATCGTGAAGGCTATAGATGCGGGAGGCGAAGATGCACAGGCTCACGTGGCTGTTCTCCTTCAGGAATTCAGCCAGTTTCCGGGCACAGGTACCACAGGGGGTCCAGGAGATGAAACAGGTGAGCCTGCAGTGCAGCTTCCGGTCCAGATTCCAAGAACGGATCCGCTCCAGGAGGTACAGCTCCACGTGGCAGGGCAGCCCAGGTTGGTCAGCACCCTAGCACAGAAGAGGAAGAAAAGTGTCCTGTCCTTTGCTGTGAACAGGGTTGGGAGAGGGTAGGGCCAAGGAAGGCACTGGCCTCCAGCACAGAATTAGAGTGGGGGCAAGCCTCAGCACCAAGTGAATGATATTTCAGTGCAGGGTTTGCATGATCCTTAGTAACACAAAACTCCATGAGAAACCCCGTATCAGTGTTTTACAAGGGGCCAGGTCAGCAGTGATGACTTGTTGGACCTTGGCTCCCTATGGCTCTGCACAGCACTGAAACTGATCAGTCTTCGTGTAAATGTTGATATTTCTTTCATCATAGAATTGCATTTATATTGATTTTTAAACTATTGTATTAAAATATGACTCATCTTGATCACTGAGTTTTCTAGAGCCCCTCTTACCTTTCACCCTGTGCTGAGCTGAAGGATGATACAGACTCTGGCCAAAAGGGCTCACTGTGCAGGGAGGAAAGGGGTGAAGGGCGCCAAGGGTTTGCTGGGGCTCGTAGGATTATGGAGATTTGTCCAAACAGCACAGGGAAGGACTTTCAACCAGGAACTGGGAACAAGTCAGGCCAACTGTGCTAGTGCAGAGACCTTGGGTGGGAGTGATGGGTGGCAGGGTGCCGAGGGGCATCCCTGGGCCAAGTGCAGCTGGCGGTGGGGTTGTGGGCACCAGCGCCCTTGCCAGGATCTCTCAAGCAGTGGGCGGAGTTCCTGCAAGGCCCGTCCAAGCCTGTACTGACTGGAGGGGGCACTGATGGAGAACTGGGGCTCCCTGGTCAGAGGCTGTCCAGGAGGAATCCAGGGAAGAGCCTGGCCCCTTGTCCAGATACCTTTTCCTCTTTCTCCACCTCTCCTCAGAAGCACAGCAGATAGAGAGTGGCCAAGCCCTGGAGCCTGGGGAGACCCTGGACTGGAGGTGCCAGGCCCTGGGTTGCTGTGACTGGCTTCTGACATGTGGTCTGGAAGCCAGCAGTCACAGCAGAAACAGTCCCCACCAGACTTCAGGAGAGCAGTGGTAGCAGGTGTAGGGACCAAAGGTGAGAGAGCTTGTGGGACACCCCGTGTCCAACTGACAACCCTCCACCCTGAATGTCCCGTGATAGGGAGGCCCTGCCTGCCTCGGAGGGGTTGGACTGCCTACCTTGTTGCACAGGAAGCCCTTGTCCTCGTCTGGAGGGAGCCCAGAATCACCACATAGGATCTCCACCTCATAGCACAGGTAGGTCTTGCGAGTCCTTTTATGATTAGGGAAGTTGTGGGTGAAGGTGTGTTCATCCATCAGGCACCTGCGGACAAAGGTGAGAGAAGCCTGAAGACACAGGGCTCTTCCTGGGACTGCTCATCGCTCCTCCCCTCCACCCTACACCCCTTCTCCTGTACCCCACATCTCTGCTGAAGCCAACAGGCCTCCCTCTCTGACTCCTGCTGGGGGCTCTGGGGGAAGTCAGCCCATCCTTTTGTCAGGGTCTCCCCAGGACCAATGCAGGGCACTCAGAGCCTTGATGAGGGCCTGTCCCTCTGCCTGGAGTAGAACTGGGTCACAGCCTCTTGTCACCATCCCGCCCCTGTCCTGGCTCCCACTGCGCCATTGCCCTGTGGTGTGGTACCTGGCCCTGGCCATGTGTCCACCCTTCACTGTCCTTGACTCTGGGTCCTCCCCTCCTGTGCCTAGTCACAGACTGTCTCCTCGTCCCTGAGGCTCTTCTAGCATCAGAAGCCTTATATATCATCAGAGCACAGGGAAGTGCTGTGTCAGCAGAATTGGACCTCACCCCTTCCTGAAAGCAGGCCACTCATGCCACCCATGTGTGTGTTGCAGAATAAGGAACTTCTCTGCCCAGATGTCACACCCTATGCCCTCACAGACAAGTTCAGGTTTTACTTTCCCTTTTCTGACAGAGGCCCTTCCTGGACGCCACCAGGACTGACCATGGATGGGCCAGTGAGGTCTGGGAGGGTGCGGTCATCTGGGCAACAGGTACT